ATCAGAGTAGTAATAATACAAAATTAAGCAGGTATACAATAATAACACAACATTTACAGCAAGGCCCACATCGGTGGTGGTGGGACGGTGGGACGGTGGGGGTGGGGGCGGTAGGAGCAAATTAAAAGCTGTTAAATCAGAATGAATATTAGTAACAAGATAGATGAATTAATGGCATGAATGATGATAAATAGATTGACCTACAAAGACATAATTAAATAGACCTTTAAGAGAAAAAGGCAAAATATAAAAGGGAGGTGGGGCACTCTAATGATAAAAAGGATGAGATAAAGGCAAGATTGAAAAAGAATCTTAGCTGAGGAAGTTGATAATGTTGAATCAATATAGATGACCCTAAAAAGCAAGAAAGAGCAGAAAAGTACAGTGGGAGAACTTTATAGGGCCTCAACAATTGTCATAAGGTTGGACAAATCGAGAAGATTAGAGCAACGTGTAACAAGGGTAATGCACTAATGCGCCGTGACTTTAAGAGGTGACTTTATTAATAATACAAGATCCAGAGGGGTCTTGACAGGATAGATGTGGGAAAGATGTTTCATCTCATGGAAGAATTCAGAACTAAGGTGTCACTGCTTAAAAAAAAACAAGGGGGTACGTCCATTCAAGTCAAAGATAAAGGAGAAATTCTCTCTCTCAATGGGCATGAGTTTTTCGAATTCTTTCCTCAAGGGGAAAAAAAAGGTGATGGAAGCAGAATCCTTGAATATTTTTAAGACAAAAGTAGATAGACCCCTGATAAGCAAGGCTGGGGCTTGTGACAGGTTAATAGGGTAGGCAGGGTTGTGCGGTAATCAGATCTACCAGGATCATACCGAATGGCAGCACAGCCTGAAAAGGTTCAGTAACCCACTCCTAATTTGTATATTATCCAAATAAATCGGTACGGCAAAATAAGTTGGGTTATGATCCATGAAAGCACTCCAGTCCATTTCCAGACCCAGAGGGGAGGATCCAATAAAAAAAATCCCAATATTATCTGATGGTGAACATACTGATTGTACTGGCGACACAGTATATAGGATGGGTCAGGTCAACACCAGGCTCATTTGCCAATTTTATTGACGTTCCCTTCTGGTTGGAGTTTAACGTAGGTGATGGGGTTCTCATCTACCGGCTGGAAGTAGGGGACACTAAATTGCCTCTTTTCAGGAAGGACTGAACTTAAAAGTCTAGCTGCGGATAAAAGACTTGAATGGAGTTTTCAGAGGGCACTCAGTTGATGAACAAGAAATTATCCAAATCCTTTCATTCCATTAGTAAGTTTAAAAAAAAAGTAATTGCACTGGCAATCCAGAAGGACCGACAAATATTCCTGTTTAATATTTCACATACTCCGATATTCTTATGCTCCAATTCCACCACAGCAGGTGAGATTTAAATTCAATTAATTAATTCATCAATGCAATTTGAACAGAAAGCCCGTCACAGTAATAATGGGCATGATTACAACCACCATCAATTTCAATCTGATTGCCTTCATTTAATAAATGGTTTGTTTATTGCTACTGTAACACAGCACTTGAAGAATCATGCAATCAGATTAGACAAAGGAAACAATTTCATGAGGTGGTGCAAGTAACAGGGTAGACAAGGGTGAACTGATGAATGCAGTAAATTTGGATTTTCAGAACACATTCAAAAAGGTGTCACACAGAAGTTTGATAAACAAGTTAACAGCTCATGGAATTGGGGATAATACATTTGTAAGTTTGAAGATTGGCTAATGGGTCAAGAGGTCATTCTCAGAATGTCAGGGTGTAAATAGAGGAACACTACTAAAGATCAGTATTTGAACTTCAGCTATTTACAATCCAAATCAACAACTTAAATGAGAGAATCGTGCGTAATCATATGCAAGTTTGCTGATGATATGAAACTAGGTGAGCAGGGCTCTTGTGGCACAATAGTAATATCACCATCTCTAGGCCAAAAATGCTGGGTTCAAGTCCCATCTACTTTTGACAACTCTCAACGTGTCTGAAGAGACTCATTTGAAAAAAAATCTACAAAATTAGGTGGGAAAGTAAGCTGTGGGAAGGGCATAATGAGACTAAAAATAGAAATATTAGAATATAGAATATTACAACACAGGAACGCGCCCTTTGGCCGACGATGTTGGTCCGAACATAACACCAAATTAAATTAACCTCTTCTGCCAGCCCATAGTCCATACCTCTCTATTTCTTGCTTATTCTTGTGCTTACCCAGAAGTCTCTTAAATGCCCCTAACATATCTGCCTCCACCACGATCCCTGGAAGCGCATTCCAGACTCCTACCACTCTCTAAAATAAAGTTGCTCCTCACGTCTCGTTTGAACTTTTCCCCTCTCACCTTAAATCCATGCCCCGAGTATTAAACATTTCAACTCTGGGAAAAACATACTGATTGTCAACCCTATTTATGCTTCTCATAATTTTATAGACTTCTATCAAGCCTCCCTTCAGCCTCTCCTCATAGCTCATAACCTCTAATCCAGGCAGCATCCTGGTAAACCTCTTCTACACCCTCAGCAAAGGCCCCACAGCCTTCCTATAATGTGGCAACCAGAACTGAATGCAATACTCTAAGTGTGGCCTAATCAAAGTCTTATAAAGCTGCAACAAGACATCCTGTCCCTTGTACTCAATTCCCCAATCAATAAAGGAAAGCATGCCATATGCCTTCTTTACCACCCTATCCACTTGTGTGGCTGCTTTCAGGGAGCTAGGGACTTGAACCCTAAGATCCCTCTGTGCACCAATGCTGTTCAGGATCCTGCCATTAACTGAATACTTTTCCTTAACATTTGATCTGCCGAAGTGCAGCTCCTTACACTTACCCAGATTAAACTCTGATGCCATTTCTCTGCACATATCTGCAATTGATCTATATCCCGCTGTATCCTTTGACAACCTTCTACACTGTGCATAACTCCACCGATCTTTGTATCATCTGCAAACTTATGAACCCACCCATCTACATTTTCATCCAAGGTATTTATATATATCACAAACAGCTGAGGTCCCAGTGAGAATCCCTGCGGAACACCACTAGTTACAGACCTCCAGCCAGAAAAACACCCTTCCACCACAACCCTCTGCCTTCTATTGGGCAAGCCAATTCTGAATCCACATGGCCAAGTCACCAAGTATCCCATACATCTTGAACTTCTGGATGACCCTACCATGAGAGACCTTGTCAAAAGCCTAACTAAAAATCCATGTAGACAATATCCACTGCTCTACCCTCAATCACCTTCATCATCTCAAAAAATTTAATCAAGTTGGTAAGACATGACCTCCCCCACACAAAGCCATGCTGACTGTCCCTAATTAGGCCATGCTTTTCCAAATGCACATAAATCCTATCCCAAAGAATTCTCTCCAATAGCTTCCAGATGACTGATGGGAGACTCACTGGTCTACTGTTTCCTGGACTATCCTTATTTCCCTTCTTGTACAGAGGAACATTAGCTACTTGCCACTCCTCCAGGACCTCTCCAGTGACTAGTGAGGATACCTATTGTCGAAGGTTCTGAAAATCCATTTGGTTCAATAACACCAGTTAGGGAAGGAGTTCTCTTGTCCTTACCTGGTCTGGCCTCCATGCACGATCCAGACCTACAACAACATGGTTGAATCTTAACCCTTTGAAATGGCCTAGAAAGCCACTCAGTTCAAGAGTGATTAGAAATGGGCAACCATGCTCATTATGCCGGTGATGCCCATGTTTTCTGAATGAATAAAGAAAAGAAACATGGAGGATCCTGTGCATTTTAATCAAACATTAAACTGGAAAGCCCTGCAAGACTTTACGCCCAACTTATCCTGATGTGTAGGACATCAAGTTCTGCTGCAGCTTTATCGAACTTTAGTTAGGCCACACTTGGAATATTACATACATTGCTGGTCACCACACTACCAGAAGGGTGTGGGTGCTTTGGAGAGGGTACAGAAAAGGTCTACCAGGATGTTGCCTGGTATGGGGGATTTTAGCTATGAAGAAAGGTTGGATAGACTGGGCTTGTTTTCACTGGAACACACGATGTTGAGGGGCGGCCTGATAGAAATTTAAAAGATTGCGAGTGGTATAGACAGAGTGGAAAGAATGAGGCTTTTTCCCAGGGTGGAGGGATCAATTACTAGGGGACACAGGTTCAAAGTGCAAGGGGGTGAAATTTAAAAGAAATGTGTGAGGCAAGTTTTTCACAAGGGGTGATGAGCGTCTGGAATGCACTGCCAGAGGTGGTGGTGGAAGTAGACATAATAGCAGAATTCAAGAAACACCTGGACAAATACATGAATAGGAAGGGAATAGAGGGATATGGATCCTGTGAGTGAAGACAGTTTTAGTGTGGAAGGGCAAAGATGTGTTGGTGCAGGTTTGGAGGGCCGAAGGGTCTATTCCTGTCCTGTAGTGTTCATATCTATTAATTAATTCATTGCATCCATGTAAATAAGATCTAGTATGAGTTGGCAATGAACTATACACAGAGATTCAGTGTAAAATGTTGCTGATTTTACATCATCACACTTTTCCCTTGGGACAGAAGTGTGAAGCACGAGAAGAATTTCCAGATTGATTAACAGGCTGACACTTTCTTTGTATTTTCACTCCACTTGGAAAGAAAACAGCCTCTTCCTTGTTATAAATACATTGCAATTTTTCCCATTTCTAATATTTTTATAAATTAGTACAAATTAGTTCAAAGAAAACAAAGGAAAAAGCTTAATTTTGAGTTAAAATCTCAATGACTTTTTCTTGTAAATTGCTTGCAGCAATGAACAGAGATTAATATTCAATCCTTACAGCCTTGTAATACTGGGAGGGTTGGCAACTCTAGTTTACAGGGCTTACTATCATCTGTCACGATCACGCGTAACTACAATTCTAATACTCACATTAGCTGAAAGCCAAACAAACGTTACAACCCATGAAAGGTTAACGTATAAACAAGGGAGCAGCAATCTTTGAGAAGCTATCCACAATTAGGTCTTACCTTTCGGAATTGTAACCTGGCAGCCCAAGTCATAGTCCTGCTGTAGCCGATAAAAAGCCACTTCCTGAAGCCGTACTCTCTCCAGTTCAGAGAGACTTTGGATAGGGACCGGCTTCAATCGAACACTGCGGCCAGACATGCTGTTCCAAGTAAAGTCAGCCTGTTGTTAGAAAAAGATGGTTAATAAAAAGCAATCAGGTAAAAAGAACCAAGCGCAGCACAGTATAGCATTATGCTTTTTCCTTTTCAATCACCGCTTGATCAGGTAAACTTCAAGTGTTGGTTTGTCCCTATTTGATGACATTATTTTTAAGCACAGCCTTTTTGCATGTGCTGAATACCAGAACTGAGCTGACACAATTGTTGGGGCTAGCAACATTTCACATCTCAATAAACCACCACACAATACTTTTGAAAGTTTCTATGACTGAGGAAATATTCTTGACTAAGTGACATATCAAGTCTTGCAGACTTCTTTTTCCCAACTGTTCTCATGCCCCTTATGAACAAGTCAGACAGGACAGAGAACCAATTCTTTGTGCTGTCATTCCAAAACTCAGCTACAGAAAAGTGAAATGGCTTCTGTTTCTATAATGACAAAAATGTACGCACATGGAAATCAAACAGAACATTTGTTTTAAACCAACTACCAAGCATAAAATATGACTTCATCAAGTCTGAAATGGGGACAACCACAATGAACCAGGCAGCAAATGTGATGCACCTTTGTCTCGAGTAGTGACAGACACATTTACTCTCTCAAGCTGGAAATTCAATCTGACCCCAAGTGTGTAAATTGTCTTGTGCTGAAGATTCACTCCATTGGAAACTCCTTTAATTCAGCACCTATGAATTCACTCCCTAGCGTATGCATAATAGCTTGTGAGGGTTCAATAATCAGCTCCCTGGAGAATATATGGGTCGGGCATGCTCTTCTTCAATCATCATTAAAACCAAAAACAACAGGCCAAGCTCTACTAAAGAAAGGGTATTTAAACATCATCTGTCAATGCTTACACTTGCCTCATGCCCTTCATTTCAAAGCTTTGAGCGCTGAAGACAGTGCATTAAAGATGCAAGGGAAAAAAAGAGCAGAAGAATAGAGAAATCTGAGTGGATTAATTCAACATTAAATCAAGCAGCAAGAAGGAAAGAGAAGTTCAAAGACTAACATTTTGGAAATGTCCAACGATAAACAGTAGAAAGGATAAGATTCCACATTTATGACAGATAGTCCTCAGTGGCAGAGGGACTGGTTGTCAGAAATGAACAACTATTACACCAGGAATATTACTCATGCTCGAAACTACGTAGCTAGTTTAGTTTGTATCTATAAGCTCATTCATTTAACAATATTCGACACACGTCAATTATCAGGCTCAGTGAAATGTCATTTTGGTATTTGCCAGAAATTACTGGGATATTGGCATTCAACCACATATCCTCTTCATCATCTGCATACGTAAATAACAAGTACCATTAGCCCTCACCATTATATCAACTGCAAAATCTGGCCAAATCTGTTGCTAGGCAAAACGTACGGATTAAAAGATATTTTGGTGAAATATACATAGGCTAAAAAAGGTTTATAATGAATAGATACATATTCACAGCAAAAACTAGTTTAAAACAAAGAAAGAAGACACATCCTTCAAAATCCTCTAATTTCTCTCAGTGAGTTGTTGATATTAATCACAGATTACTGCTGGAAGGCAATTTGGAACATGGAAAAGGCCAGAGCGTGACATCTCTTTTCACTGCTGCACTGTTTCATCATTGGCTATTCCAGAGTACTGCTCATATCATAAACGGTTTTGTAAAGATGAAGAAGAACACACGGTTTTGTAAGGATGATGACGAACACACGGTTTTGTAAGGATGATGAAGAACACAGCATGCAATTTTAGGCGCTTATCCTTTTACCGCTAAATGCATGGTTGTTTCAGACAACCATCGCTTAGACACTGATGTTCAGACTGATGTGTTTATGTAGCTCTCAGCGAAGAAATTACAAACATTCAGGCTCTAAGATTTTGGGCTACTGGTGAGCATCTTTGTCACATGAAACATGGATCACAAAATCTGAACTGTGGTAAAGAAAAATGACAGAGGCCCAGGAAGATGGTGGAATTTGAATTCAATAAAAATCTGGAATTAAGCATCTAATGATGACCATGAAACCATCATTGATTGTTGAAAAACCCCATTGAGTTCATCAAACATCCTTTAGGGAAGGAAACTGACATCCTTGCCCAGTCTAACCTGCATTCAACTCCAGTTCCATAGCAATGTGGTCGACTTTTAACCTCCCTCTGGGCAATTAGGGATGGGCAATAAATGTTGGCCTAGCTAGTGACATCTACACCCTACAAATGAATAAAACAAATCTGCAATCTCAAGACATCCCAAATAACTTTGCAGTCAATGAAGTACTGAGAATCATATCACAAAAAATCTGGTAACATTCAATGTTCGTTGAGTAATAAATAATAGGTTGGATATCATGGAGAAATCTCTTGCCCTTTCTTAAAATACTGACTTGGGATCTTTTACATCCCCTCTAGGAAGGTATATCTGACCTCAACTTAACATTGCATTTGAAAGGCATCACACAGAATGACATTGCACTGAAGTGGCAGCCTAAGGCTATAGTCTCATTTCCCTAGAGGGGACTTGAAACCAGTCATCTGACACAGATGTTAGGTCGTCACTTGTACTACTGCTCACCCATTTGAAAGTTCAGAAATTTTACACCACATAAATGTATGATTTTGTAAAGCTGGGGGTGCTCCTCTGAAAGTCACAAAGGACAACTGTTTGGAGAAACAAATGCTCAGGTGATCCTGCATTTCATAGACGGTTATTTGGTCAGGGAAGGTTTCAGATTGCAGTACGCTTGTTATTTTCAGACTGGAAACAATCACTGAAGACTTGAATTACTTTAATATTGTTTTGCGTTTGTAAGTACACTGATATCTGTTTGTCCTGACAGGTAGAGAGGTATTTACCAAAGACAATAGAGAACACTTGCCTGCAAGCGATACAGTTGGCGGGAGCCCCAACATTACCTCTTTCAGGAAAGGCAGCAGGAAGTAAGCAACGTACAGGCTCTTAGGTGGCCAAGGTCCGACCTTTCCTGGAGTTCTCGGAGACAGAAATCTCAGCAGCTAGTGGTGAAACAATGGCAGACACTGGCAATGCACATACTAAAGGCTTAGGACCAGCAAGGGACCCAGGTCACAAATGACAGAGAGCAGTAAGAGGACAGAGGGGTTTTTACAGTAAAGAGGAGGGGGACGGCTCTCCCCATCCCGATGCTAAGACCCTCAATCAACACAGTGATTTCGAATGAGAAACCTTCCTGGGAGCCCACAACCTGATACAGCTGGGTTTGCTGCATAGGTCTCGCACATGGCAACTGCTTCATCCGCTACCGGTTGAATCCTAGCAGATGTCTGCGTGTGTTCCAGAGGCAGGGTTCCTACCTGATGCCTTTCCATCTCAATTAAATGCCTCCCCAGCTCCAAACTCACCTTGGGGAGGGTAATAAATTTCACCCATACAGCGTTCATCCCAAGAATATTGAATTTTGTCGGTAACTGGATGCAAAATATTAGATTATGGCATGCAATTCTCTTAAAATTCATGCATTCTTTCAGATAAATCCTCATCATATAAGTCATTTGCATACTTTCATACTATCCCATCATCTTCCGCCTTGAAGACCCTCTTTGACTAAGGTTTTAGTTATCCTTTTAATATCTCCTTTGTCTAGTTCAGTGTCAATTAGCACTTCAGTGCAAGCTCTTCCAGCATTTCCTAGATTAGTAATGCTACATTAATACCCTGTTGTTGCTTTCACCTACATTACTGATGAAATTCACAGAAGAACAATGGGGTACAGCTAACAACTGAGATATACAAAGGAATAACTGTATTAGGGTAAGGCAACTAAAACTTGTGTAGATTTTATGTTAATTGATGGCTGTCTAAAAGAGAAGTTCATGCTAAAACTGTGCGCTAAAGTTGAATTTGTTTACCGTGTTTGCAATGTATGATCAGAACAAAGACTTTAATTCCCAAAATGATCACTCACTTGAGTTCCACATGCAAATGGACAAACACAAATAAGTGCCGTTAAACTGATCTTCCCTCTCAGTATTTTATACTAGTTACTGTAATTTAGTATACTCATTTCAAGCAATAATACGTATTTTAATTATTTTCTGCTACTGGATCAGTGGTAGCCTTCCTTCCTTAGTCAAAGGGTGAAGGATTCAAATGCAACTTCAGACATACCAGTCACTGCAGCTCTGCCTCAACCTGAATTTTAAACCCCCAGATATTTGCATCTGCTGGTTGGGAGAATGGGTGCCCCACCTTTTGTACAGGTAATGGGAGTCCACAGACCCCTCCCGCTGTATAACACTGATTACCTCATTCAGTGGTATAGAAATGTTTGGATTCATTGAAGTAATGCCCATGTTGTGGTCTTTCAGGTTACTTCTTTCACTATTTCATAATGTTCTCCAAGGGAATAGGAAGATGATGCGACGAACAATGACCCATTTTACGAAAAAAAGTGTGTTCGATAGCCAGAGTCCACATTGCACTCTACTACAGACAAGTGTCCTGCCAAATGAATGGGTTTATCATAAACAAAGTTAAAGAGCTCTCAAGTACAGCCAATGTCATATTATTAACTTGCAGTCAATACAACACGTATAAGCTATTAAGATGAATGGTACAAATCATGCAAGTCTCGGCACTTGGACTACAGGTAGTATCAAATTTCCAATAAATACTACATATAATTGACACAAATGAAGGCACCTCTCTCAGCCATCTGTGGAACTTGCGTCATTTTCCTGGCTGACCACAGTTGGCACTTGTAGTGTTTGCCACCTCTCTCAGTATGTGTTGCAAGGCAAAGGCTGTTGGAGAAATTTCGCTGCCATCAATTTTCTTAGTCTGATCTAGTGATTCATTATAGAGGGATAAACCACCATACAGCATCAACAGGAGAGGCGCAGTTTTTAGATAACAAAGTTGTTTATTGCATGATAGCAATAACTATATTTGGTCAGGCATAACTACTACGAAACTGGTACAAATACATCATCTGCTCCTTCCGAAAAGCTACAGGAGGACTCACCTCCA